CGAGCAGAGATGCACGCCCAGGAGTCGTCGGCCGCCAGGGCGCAGCTCGCCGTGCCGCGCGAGCAGACGCGGCGGCGGCTCGGAGCACGTGCCCCTGCGCGATGCACCGAGGGCCTGCCAGAACGGGAGGCGAACGCAAGCAACAGCGGTGTGACGAGATCCAGCTGCCTGCAGCGAACCTGCCACCGTGCCAACGAAGCACTCTGTACGGCGCTCCTCCGATCACCGCGCGGAAGGCCGTCACATGCGACACCTCTCGCCTCGGCTTCTCGAGGAGCGCTTGTGGGGCTTGTTCGGGCCGTCTTGGGGCTGTCTTGGGCACCCCTTGGGCAGCCTTACAGGTCCCGAGGGGCCCTCTTAGACCATTTTGGGGCCCTCTTGGGCTGTCCCGGGGGCCCTCTTGGGCCGTCTCGGGGTCCTCTTCACCGTCTGTGGTGTCTCTTGGGGACACCTTGGGGACGTCTTCGGCTGTCTAGGGGCCATATTGGGTCCCTCCGGGGGCCCTTCTCTCGAAGACCGCAAGTGGACCGACCTTTGACCGAAGAGCGTGGACCCGAGTCGGGTAGCTCTTTCACCCTGGGTTTGCAAGCCTTGTAGTGCAAGCTATGTGGAGAGACCTTGTATGTAGTGCAAGCCATACGTGCCGCAATCAGTCTGGTGCAAGCTGTGTGTGTGTGTGTGTGTGTGTTTGCACGCTGTGTGGGGGGTGCAAGCTGTGTGTGTGTGGTGCAGGCTAGGTGGCGTAAGCTGCGCGATGAAAGCCACAGGGTGCAGGCTGTGCGGTGCAAGCTGCGCATGTGGTGCGAAAGAGCACAGTGTGTGCAGGCTATGGGATGCAAGCGCGCCGTGCCCACGAGGCGCTCACGAGGCGCCGGCGAGGCGCCCGCGAGGCGCCCACCGGGCGAAGCCCTGGCAGACCCCGCCCGGCGGCACCGGGCGCCCGGCCTCGGCAGAGTTGGCCACCAGAGCGCACGGGGCGCCCGCCAGGCGCCCGCGAGGCGCCCGCCCGGCGAGACCTCGGCAGACCCGAGCCGGCGCACGGGGCGCCCACGGGGCGCCCGCGGGGCGCCCGCCAGGCGAGGCCTCTGCAGGCCCTGTCCGATTCCGCCACGAGGGAAGAGGCGAGAGCCACTGGGTGCCATCACCGTGGGGGGCTCGATCTTCTTGGCCTCCCGAGGGCCCCTTGAAGAGCGTCTCGGGGATGCATCGGGGCCTCTTGGAGGCCTACGCGCACGCTTCTTAAGGGCTCTTGGATGCGTCTTGAGGCAACGGTGGGCCATCTTGGCGGCCCTGTTGGCCGTCTGTGGCTGTCGTCGAGGCCCTGGAGGGCCTCTGAGAGCGTCAGGGAGGCTCCGAGGCGTTTCCTCCCCCTCCCCCTCCTCCTCCCCCTCCTCCTCCTCCTCCTCCTCCTCCTCCTCCTCCTCCTCCTCCTCCTCCTGCTCCTCCTCCTCCTCCGGTGCACGCGGCACTTTGTGATGATAGGGGGGGGGGCCCTTCGAAGATTTACGGAATCCCTCGCAGACAGCATTTGGCATTCTTCCACGCCTCAACGTGCCAGGGGGCACGAGAAGGGATCAAAGCAATTGCAGCAGAAGCCGGAGAAATTGATCCTTCCTTGTCCAGCAAAGCGCTAGTTCGCTTGACAGGCACCGATTTCGCCTTAGATTGTTGCAGTGGCAGAAGGATTGATGAGACATGCAGGAGCAGTGGCAAGAGAGGCGAGGAACCAGGAGAGGGATGCAATCACGGTGCGTCTGGTGTTGGCGTTAGCGCTCATTCGTTTTCTTCCTGGCTTGTACTGCTCAGCTTTTGAAGTACCCCCATCTTCAGTGGGCCAGGGCTCCTTCCCGCCACCAGCCTACTTCCTCGAGGTGGGGAGTAGATGCCGCGAAGCCCGACGAAGACTGCACTTCTCCCCGCCTAGGGGGGGTAGATGGCCAGCGAGGCCAAGGCTTTCCCAGTGGGGATGGGCATAGCCGGGCGGGGCTAGGACGAGGATAAGTCCGTTCCAGAGCGTTCCAGAATGCTCTCAGAGAAGGCCGCGGCGCCTGAGACATCCTCCAGAGCCGTCAGATCTCAGAGATTCCCGAATTATCCTCACCCGATGTTAGCCTCGTCCTGGCTTCGTCCCAGATAGGTCTCACGATACTGAACTGCTCGCTAGACGTGTGCTTTTGCCGAAGCTTGGGAGGCGAACGCTACGAGTGCGAGCGCCTCGTCGCCGACTGCCTCGCGCGCCCCCAGGTGGGCCCTGCCAGGGGAGGAGGCTGGCGGCGGTTGTGCAGGCAATGGGGCTTCAGAGTAACTGAGCACTTGTGATAATAAAGCGTACAGTGGAAACCCATGCTTGCCTCCAGGGTGCCCTGGGTTACGAGGAGGAGAACGAGGAGTAGAGGGTCACAACTCGCAGCCTGCATCTGGGAACTGGTAACGAGGACAGGCGCTTTCTATCAGCCCCTCCGTTCTATTCTCCCAAGCTCAGGGTCCCAGAGTGGGTGGTCACGGGTGGGTGTCCTCAGCGAGGCCACTGGGGGTCATATTGGAGCGCGGGTATAAAGAGGGGGGGTTCGTGCTTACTCGATTGAATCGGTCGAGCCGACACACTGGACTGCAGGCTGAGTGAGCATGCTGGACAGGGGCTCTTAACCAGCAGTCCTGGCATACAGTACCGCGTATGTGGATGACGCAGCGCCTACACGGATTTGCACGACTGCCCCGTCGTTGTCGCTCCAAGTTCTGGGATAGCGTCGCATTCGATTGACGCTGACCCCTGCAACGAAACAGCGGCCGCTGCAAAAAGTCATGTTGCCTGGGGCCATTTGTGTAGAGTGTAAATATATAAATATGTGTGTATGTATATCATTATGTATAGCTGTATTCCTACTATATATATACAGATTTACTTATAGGGCCGGGAGCCCACACCCCAGCGCCCCCCCCAAAAATTAGCCTGGCGAAGGACCCAACCATATGCAGTTGAGAGTACCGCAATTGTGAATATCTTCTTCGGTGGCGCTCCCTATGGGGCCACGAGCCGTATGAGGGGTGTGCCGAAATGCGTGGCAGTGTACACAACACGAACGAAGACGATAGGTCCGAATATGAAAGCTTGAGCGCGTGCGAGTCGGATCGCGAGCGAGTCTGATTATGAATGAATCTGCGCGCGATTGATTCTATTCGCATGAATGCGTGCATGGATACGCCCAGTGTAAATGTATGTATACGACTGTGAACAGTTTGGGTCTGCGTGACTCTCGGTACTCGTGACTCTGAGCGTCGCCTCTGCAGGGGGCTTCCCTGGGAACCCCGACGGCAGCGCCCGCGCGCCGCGACGCCCATGTCGGCACGCCACACACCTGGTGTGCGGGACGCATGCGGACGGCAGCACTGGGGCCTTCGGTGGAGCTCCCTGTGGGGCCACGAAACGTGTGAGGGGTGTGCCGAAATGGGTGTGCGGGACGCATGCGGACGGCAGCCATGGGGCCTTCGGTGGAGCTCCCTGTGGGGCCACGAAACGTGTGAGGGGTGTGCCGAAATGGGTGTGCGGGACGCATGCGGACGGCAGCATTGGGGCCTTCGGTGGAGCTCCCTGTGGGGCCACGAAACGTGTGAGGGGTGTGCCGAAATGGGTGTGCGGGACGCATGCGATGGGGCCTTCGGTGGAGCTCCCTATGGGGCCACGAAACGTGTGAGGGGTGTGCCGAAATGGGTGTGCGGGACGCATGCGGACGGCAGCACTGGGGCCTTCGGTGGAGCTCCCTATGGGGCCACGAAACGTGTGAGGGGTGTGCCGAAATGGGTGTGCGGGACGCATGCGGACGGCAGCCACTGGGGCCTTCGGTGGAGCTCCCTGTGGGGCCACGAAACGTGTGAGGGGTGTGCCGAAATGGGGCAGCATGGGGCCTTCAGCGGGGGGCCACGCATGCGGACGCATGCGGACGCCCATGGGGCCTTCGGTGGAGCTCCCTGTGGGGCCACGAAACGTGTGAGGGGTGTGCCGAAATGGGTGTGCGGGACGCATGCGGACGGCAGCCATGGGGCCTTCGGTGGAGCTCCCTATGGGGCCACGAAACGTGTGAGGGGTGTGCCGAAATGGGTGTGCGGGACGCATGCGGACGGCAGCATGGGGCCTTCGGTGGAGCTCCCTGTGGGGCCACGAAACGTGTGAGGGGTGTGCCGAAATGGGTGACGCATGTGAGCTCCCTGGGGCCACGAAACGTGTGAGGGGTGTGCCGAAATGGGTGTGCGGGACGCATGCGGACGGCAGCACTGGGGCCTTCGGTGGAGCTCCCTGTGGGGCCACGAAACGTGTGAGGGGTGTGCCGAAATGGGTGTGCGGGACGCATGCGGACGGCAGCCATGGGGCCTTCGGTGGAGCTCCCTATGGGGCCACGAAACGTGTGAGGGGTGTGCCGAAATGGGTGTGCGGGACGCATGCGGACGGCAGCACTGGGGCCTTCGGTGGAGCTCCCTGTGGGGCCACGAAACGTGTGAGGGGTGTGCCGAAATGGGTGTGCGGGACGCATGCGGACGGCAGCACTGGGGCCTTCGGTGGAGCTCCCTATGGGGCCACGAAACGTGTGAGGGGTGTGCCGAAATGGGTGTGCGGGACGCATGCGGACGGCAGCCATGGGGCCTTCGGTGGAGCTCCCTATGGGGCCACGAAACGTGTGAGGGGTGTGCCGAAATGGGTGTGCGGGACGCATGCGGACGGCAGCACTGGGGCCTTCGGTGGAGCTCCCTGTGGGGCCACGAAACGTGTGAGGGGTGTGCCGAAATGGGTGTGCGGGACGCATGCGGACGGCAGCCATGGGGCCTTCGGTGGAGCTCCCTATGGGGCCACGAAACGTGTGAGGGGTGTGCCGAAATGGGTGTGCGGGACGCATGCGGACGGCAGCACTGGGGCCTTCGGTGGAGCTCCCTGTGGGGCCACGAAACGTGTGAGGGGTGTGCCGAAATGGGTGTGCGGGACGCATGCGGACGGCAGCCATGGGGCCTTC